ACGAAACAGTTTGTCACAGCCCCTCGTTTGTTGTCCTCTTCTCCCTCTCTGCCTACGGTTTACCGGGCAGTTCTATTTGACGATATATATATATTATACATAATATTATTAATATATATATATTCTATTTGACGATATATATATATATATATATAGCCCCTCGTTTGTTGTCCTCTTCTCCCTCTCTGCCTACGGTTTACCGGGCAGTTCTATTTGACGATATATATATATATATATATATATCGTCAAATAGAATATATATATATCGCCCCTCGTTTGTTGTCCTCTTCTCCCTCTCTGCCTACGGTTTACCGGGCAGTTCTATTTGACGATATATATCGCCCCTCGTTTGTTGTCCTCTTCTCCCTCTCTGCCTACGGTTTACCGGGCAGCTCTGTTTGACTATATATATATAAAAGGAAATTTGAATGTCAGGGTGTCTTCCATTTACAAAAAAAGACAAAAAGAATGACAGGGTATTTGGTTGGGTTCCTGGTTGGCTGAATGAGGGAGGTGGAAGCGAAATCACTTATTAAGACAGCATGTGGCTGTTGGGCTGCTCTAGTTTTTGTTTATGCCTTGCCTTTTTTTGTTGTTGTGAAATTGGCAACCAGTTTGTGTTGTTCAGGAAGTTGGCTGCTCTGGAAAAGGGGAAGGAGCTGGGGCAGTGGTGGGCAGGCAAAGGTTCTGAATATGAGGGAGAGAGAGGGGGTGTCTCCACCGGGGGCATATCCTACAGAAAGTGGAGCTTTGGAAAGAACATGGCTTCATGTGTTGATGGAGCAGTGACAGGGAGGCAGCAGCCATCACTCTTTGAGATCCAGGTGCCTCTACCTTACTCTCAATCATAGACTTCCTACTCTTTCTTTCTCGCTTTGCCCTTGCTCGTATACTTCTGTTGCCGTTTTTTCGTCTATGTGCTATGATCCTTGAACATTTATCCCTGAAAGAAGCAAGATGAAAAAGAAAAGAAACAAAAACAAGACAGGATTTGCAATGTCAATGAGGAGCGCAGCATCACATTCTAGTCCAGGAAAAGGGTTGCAAAGGTAAGAGGAAGAGAAAGAGAGGAGTTCAAGAAGAAAGCTCAGACACCGACAGAACTGTGAAACGTACTAAAAACGCAGTAGTCAGGTTCTCTTCCTCCTGTTACTTCCTCGTCCTCCACCTCGTTCAGTCTCTTTCTCTTCTTTGAAAAAGAAAAAAGAAAAAAAGAGCCTCGGGGTCCTGGCTTCTTATCCAGTCTGAGCAGCATCATTCCGGTTCCTTTTCCACCTGCAAGTCAATGATACATCTTGGACCCACAAAAACGCTTCGCACCTTTACGGTAGGAAGACCGGAGTGGACAGCATTGATTGCTTCCAATGAGGAAGGATATACCACCCCTCGTCGCTCCATAAGTTAGCTTTCCGGCATTAAGCTTTTAACCTACGACTAATAGACCTTAAACCCTAGGGGGACTGCCTGGCTCCGTTTGCACTGCTCAGCTGGCAGCCTGACCGGTATCTCTTTCTCTTCGTATTTGGCGAAGAAATGAAAGAACCGACGATGTAATAACTAATGATATAATTGAAAGAGTGAAAGAATAGTCTGGGGCAATTTCTTTTAAGAGCAGGATACGACAACAGAGGGGAACGGATGCGAGGGGGGAACTTAGAGATTGCTAGGGGGAAGAGCTAGAAAGGGGAGATAGGACCATGGAGAAGGTAGGATTTTCTCATCCCAGTGACTACGCTTAGGTGTGAGATTTGCGGCCTGAGAGGCTGCTAGAATGACCTCCCCCGCACCTTGTCCTCCCTAGGGCTCTTCTGCTGCGTGACTGGGTGCTGCCAGTAAGCTTCCTGGCCAGCAGAAGCCCCCTAGGAAGGCAATGGTTTGGAGGGGTGGTGGTTCGTAGCAGCCCCCCCCTTGAGTAGGTGACTCGTTACATTAATGTAAGATTGTATATTCTATGTATTTCTTTCTATATTGTATATAATACAACTGCTAATAAAAATCACGAGTACCATCCAATACTGATATATGACAATAAAGAGAATAGTAAATAGTTTCTTTATAATGAATGAACATTCTTTTTTATATCTTACTCTATAGTAAATGGGATAGAGTAATTGGTAACTCGTCAGGCTCATAATCTGAATGTTGTAGGTTCAAATCCTACTCCCGCCAATCTTCCACCAATGGGCTGACTCTTTTTCAATTCTGTTCTTTCGGTTCTTTTTCCATGTACTCGTGCTTGTCGGTGATAAGCAACCGAACTGACGCCCCCCAGAATAGAAGGGGCTTGGGTGATTAAAAAAAAAAGAATAAAGAAAAAAGAAAGGAAAGAGTTAAAGAAAGTCGTCTGATTCTCTCCCAGCATCCAATAACAAAAGAACATCATTCTTCTTCTTCCCCTTATCTCAGAGAACTATCGCCACCCCAAAGGCAATATCATACTGATATGGGCACACTCACACTAGCACTTTCCTAAATGAACCTGACAACAATTACTGTCGGACCTGGATGCATCTGGCTGCAAGCACGTTCAGAGCTGAGTTGAAAAAGTCCTAGTGTGAGTATGCCCTGAGACTGGAGGACAGGGGTCCGCAGGATCCCCGATCATGGAGCACCAACCAACGTCATGACAAAACAGTACAGGCGAGGGAAGATCTCTCCCAAAGACCTCTTCTTCGTTGTCTGCTGCTTTCCAACTTTGTCTATTTGTTCCCACCAGTCGCTGAAAAGACCTATTGGTTTCTTTGGCAAAGAATTTTTGAGGTGAGAAGCGGTTCACACTTGTGTGTTTGAGGGATGGAGAGGTAAGCGTTCCTTTCCTATGTTAAGTTCTTACCCTATTGTTTCCTTTTGAGCATTTTCATTCACTTACAAAGGGGTTGGATGTGCCCTGGTTGAACGCACATGTGTTTTATGTTTCAGGCGTCTAAGGCAGAGGTTTTGGTTTTGGCGGTAGGATCGGAACCACCTATTGCGCTCTTCAGGTGAGGGGTACACTGTTCTCTGTTCTATCTTTCGTGCACAGCAAGAGAATCAACATAAAACTCGGAGTCGGGAAACTTTCTTTCAACAATGCTCTCTCTTCCATGAAAATGGATTGCTGTCATCTGTCAAGCGGACTCAAGTCTGTATGTCACATTCTGTTCAGATGCACAATGTTAGCCTGGCAGAAATGTTATACCAAAGCTACCTTCTGAGAAAGCTGGCCAGCTCCTACAGACAGGCAAAAAGACAACTAGGGCGGCTAGATCGGTAATCCAACAGTGCAACTGAGAAAGGGCGACCCTCCTGGTATCCAGGGCATTCCTTTTCTTTTCTTTTCTTTTCCTTTTCTTTTGTCTTTCTTTTTTAAACAGGTCCTTATGGCCCTGACTCCTTTTCCATTCTGGGGAGCATCAGTCCGGTTCCTATTCGCCCAGCAAGTCAAGAATGGATACATCGATATACACACTCACGCTTCCTTCTGTATGGTCGAAGGACCCCTGACCAGCATTGATTGCTCCTTGAAGGAGGATTGACTGTCAGCTTGCCTGTCCCTGAGTTCCCTCTCAGATTCCATATTGAAACCTGCCAGATACTACAAATAAAGCAAGGAAGACAGAGATAAACTGCTGATTTGGATCCTGATCTGCCTCTTATGCCTCTGGAGCCCTGCATTGGTGTGGAGAACAACAGACAACTGCTCACTGAGTGGTTCCCAGTGAGTCTCGCATAGCCCTGCGGCCTTGTTATCCATTCTGAAGGGAGCCCCTCGTTCCTCGGGGGGTAGCCGAATTGTGCCAGTCTTTCCATTCAAATCGTGAATTTCCGCTATCTTCCCCTGGACCAGCCACACCCTCCTGAACTTAGCTATCGTTTCTTGTTGTTTGTCCGGGTCCTGTTGAATGTGAAGCTTGACCTTCTTCCACTGGCACCGGATGTCCGTCTCCATGAAGAGTTTTGTTGATGCCCACACTTGTTCCGATGGCAAGCTGGAGTTGTCGATGGTCCGGCTGCACCTCTCCTTCCATATGACCCATAGCTTCGCTTTTCTGATTATCCCGAACCAGATGCGCTCGGACTTGTTGAATTGAGAGGGGAGGTTAGTCCACAGGGGTAACTGGATGGGGTGTTCAGGTAGAGAAGAAGGGAACAGGTGATCCCACAGGTGATCCCAGAGTGCTGAAGCTCTCGCCCATAGGTCAGTAGCCAGGTGACAGTTAACTAGGCAATGTATTAGGTCCTCCTGTATGCTGTCAGAGCATGCTACACATTTAAAAACAGCGAACTATTTTTTTCACTGTTTTTTCTACGAATGTGTAGCCAGGCGTTCACTGGAAGTGCATTGTAAGTAATCAGCCATTGGAGACTTCTGATCCTGATTGGGCGAATTGCTTTGTACTTTCCCCAGGGAACTGCGGGGATTGGTTCCATTCTCTGTCCTAACAGTTTTTCCCATCTCCCCTTGATGACCAGCTCCGGGTCCTTTGTTTTTAGTAGTATTTTGTAGCCCATTTTAGCTGAGTACTGTGTAGTCAAGATGAGGGTTTTACAGAATCTGTTACTGCCTGATAGCCAGGCCCATTCTTCTGGGTCGAATTCTAAGTCTTGGATTACTGTTTCGACTTGGAAGATTGTCTTTGGCCATCCCCAGTACCCTCGATTTCCGGAGTGTGTATGAGTTGAGTGTTATCTCTTGTGGATTGATGTTGTTGATAGTGAGAGCTTTGGGATTGGAGCGGTCAATAGGGAAGGAGGTGAAGACTCCCGAAAGACCTGTGCCTGAAGGTCTACGGTAGAATTGGTATGCTTTTTCAGGTACAACCTCCTGAATTAAGACTCCCCACTTCCCTGCTTTCCATGTGAAGTTTTTCTTCAGGAGTTCTTTCCATCCATCAGGGATGTTGTTCACAACAGTTGTTAGGTTCTCGTCTCTGTTGTGGCATCCTTTTAGGTGTTGTCTCAGTTGGTCCTCGTCAATCCAATCTTTCTTCTCTTCATTCCAGATGTGTCCCACCCTCCAGATTCCGAGCTTGATACACGATAGCCACTGCTGACCATTAGATAAGGAAAGAGGTAGGTGCAATCAGACTCGCTTTCTTTTCCACTTCACATACATGCAAACAGTTGGCGATTCACACTGGCGCACAGCGCCCACTCAAAGCTCAGAGATATGACAATCGAGAACACAGTTCAGATGCGAAACTAGCTTCAACAAGCTATGGCGCATCAGCGCCTACACAGCCCAACTCTCATCACTGCGTTCAACACCACTGTTCGCCCGGACTCAACTCTGGATCACCCTGAATACTCCACGCACACTCACTCTGTATCCCACACACACACTCTCAGCTATCTCTAACCTACAGCAGCTATGGCCGCTTGTCACTACCACTATGAGCACTCTAGCTCCTTCCGCCCACTTCGTCTTCGGGCAACCTGCAGACCACCTTCGCACAAGACGCTGTAGCAGCGCTTCCGCATGGCTTATGCAGCGAATGCATGAATGGCTGGGCGCTGCCTCTTGATTTGTACTTCTGTAACTCGTTGGTCTGCCCCCTTTCCACCGGGCCCATGGTGCACACAGTCCCTCATGGTACTTGCTGACTGTGCAAAGTGAGACTGGGACTGGGTACCGCTGACTCATCGAAGTTGGACTCCCCCACTTGCCCACTTGCCTTTGCTTCAATGTGAGACACTTTCGAAAGGCCACTTCCGGACGTTCCGGAAGTCTGTGGACTTGGCCTTTCGAGTACTGTAGCCGCTACGACCTTCACCTTTCAGGACTGTAGCAGCTATGACCTTGACCTCTCAGAACTCCTACAGCTACGACCTCTACAGAGTTGTGACCCCTACTCAACAGACCTACAGATCGAACCCCTACAACTACACATGCCTACGACAGACAACAACCAACGACCAAAAACAGGTCACAGGTTCAAACACGCGGGGTTCAACTCGATACTGTACATGGGCAAGGTAAGGTCTGGGGATCGAACTCTAGGGCCCGCATCTGTGACTGCAGAAAGGTGAAAACCGTTTCATAGGTCCCCCGCATTTCTTACGCACTGATTCCGGAAGAGGGGCTGTCGCATCACCTCTTCTTTGGATTTGGGTTTTTTAACTTTTTCTGCCATGATGCCTCTCCACATACGAATCAGGGCCGACCAGTACGGAGTTGGGGGGGTGACATCATTTAGTTGTGAGTTTGACCGGCACCTTCTCCTGGCCGTCTTTGGTGACCAGTCTTTATTCAGTACCCAAAAAAGGCCTGACATGTTGATCGGGGTTTGGACCAGTGCTATAGCTCTTATACTGTCTATAAGGCTAAATTGTGCCAAGCCAGTGTTGGCTGGGTCAGCAATTTAATTATCCACTTTATCTGCATGGCTTTTGTTTCTTGTTTGGGGTCGATAATCCCTAACCCGCCTTTGGACGGCCTCCTCGTTATGAAGTGCCAGGCTATCTTGGGAATGTATCTGGCCTGGTTGGGGTCTCCTGACCAAAGATAGGCTCTTGCTTTGCTGTCGAGTTCTTTGATTGCATCATCAGGTATGGTCCAGATGGAGGCGATGTACCACATAACTGATAAGATGGAGGTGTTAAGCGCTAAAGCCCTTCACATGTGGAGACAAACATTATTACTGTTTGAAATTGGATGTGTTGTTGTGTACCTGTATTAAGCTCAGGTAGTCGTTGGGATTGACAGGTCTTTGCGCAGAAAGGAGGCAATCGCTTCCATCACGAACAAGAAGATTGGTGGGGCGAGGGTATCGCCCTCTCGGACTGAGCGGGAGATTGGGTTTCATTCGGATAGAAGGCTGTTAACTTGTACGCAGCCTGAGGCACTGTTGTAGAGGATCCTGACCCATTCCCTGAAGTTGTGTCCTGCTCCCATTTTCTCCATACTCGCGTTGAGGAATGCCCAATTGACTTGGTTGTAGGCCTTCTCAAAGTCTAAAAACAGGATTGCTGTATTTAGTCTCTTCTCCCTTACTTTTCGGGTGGCTTCATTTAGTGTGAGGGCATTGTCTAAGATGTATCTGCCTGGGATATATCCAGCTTGATCTATGTGGAAACACTTGTCTGTGAGGTCTAGAATTCTGAGGGCTAATGATTTGGCTAGAATCTTGTAGGGGAGGGTGAGAAGGGAAATTGGTATGTAGTTACAAATATCTTCACAAGCACGCTTTTTGTAGAGGAGGGTCACCACACTGCTGCTTAACAGTTCTCCCATACCTCCCTTTTCCCAGCAGTCCTCGTAATACTGTAGGAGATCTTTCCCCATTACTGGCCAAAAAAGGTCCCATAATTCTTTGGTAAGCCCGTCTATACCCGGGGGCTTATCATTATTCATGCTTTGCAATGCTACCCTTAGTTTGTTTAAGGTGACCGGTTAGTCTAGCGCTACTGCCTGTTCTGTTGTGAGTTTTTTGTCAAGGTACTGGAGCATTTTGGCCCTAGCTTCTCTTACCGCTGTGGGAGGAGGAAACTGTTTTTTTTCCCTGGTAGAGTTCCTGGTAAAACCCTTTTGCTATTTGTAGCATACCCTTACTGTCCGTTCTGGTGGTTTGTTCATCTGATAATTCTTTTAACCCTTCTATCGTGTTGGTTCTGTTGTTTGCTTTTATTTTTGTGAAAACATGTTTGCTCATTGACTCATTTAGCCCGTACTCAGTCATTCTTGCCCTTACCTGAAGACCCTTGAGTTCCCACATTCTCCACAGTGACAGCCCCTATCTTGCTTGTTCTAGAGTGGCTGTGTATAGGGACGAGTAGGGGTCGCTTGTAAGATTGGCCTCAACGATCTTCATAGCCATTTCCAGATATTGCTTCCTTTGCCAGCGATCATCAGCGAGTTTTCAGGATGTGTGGGCAACTGATTGTGATAGTGAAATATAGCTATCTTGAAACCATTTCCATTTATATATTGGCCTTCGAGAAACAAGCCTCTTGAATTGGTCCAGCACTCTTACATCCTTTCTCTGAAAGTCTGGCTTAAGAG